AAATGACAATCTAATGGCATGAGGGGCGGGGAGACAGAGATCCTAACTGACCACATTTGCCTTCCTTGCAGATACTGCACCTATGCTAAACCAAGTCATGCTGTTGGGTAGTTTTAGAAAGGGCAGGGCAGCATGAGGTACTTAGAGTTCTTCAGGCAGCCTTCAAACCTGCTGTACGAGGTGACGGACTATGGCTAATAACCCAGCAGGAAAATGTGAAACCTCAACAGAATAATGAATGGTCACTAACGGAGCTTACCTCCAGTGAAAGGCGTACTCAGAAGAACAAGGAAGTATGTCTGGTGAGCCCCTGGAGGTGGCTGTGTTCCTAATGGGGAGGGAGGATTAAGTTTTGGGGCCAGAAATAATTTCTACCACCTCATCACACTTACCCAAGCAGGAAAATCCCATCCTAGCCAATCCCTGCCTTACAGAAAACTACATGTGATATCTTGGCCGCCATGTTTTGCCGCCATGTTTTTCTACAAGGCGTCTCGTATCGCTAAGCTGTATGCATCCACTCAATGGAGCCAGAGAAGGACCAGGAGAGTGGGTGAGTGAGCTAGAAAAGAGGCAAGGTTGTCAGTTTGGGGTTTTTTGTTTATTTATTTTTAATGGTTTTTTTATGCCCACCGATGAAAAAAATTTATTGACTATTGCTTTCATTAGTTGAGAGATCACCATTTAATGATCTCTTACTCAAGAACTCTGAAGGTCGAAGCTCGAGGGCTGATCTCTCTGCCGTGGACTGCCTGCCCCTTGCCACACCACAGGCTCAAGCTCTGGAAACTCTTAGAAGCATAGAGGATAAGATTTTTAGATGTGCTTTAGAGAAAATATAACCCATGCTTCGCCTCAGACACCTTCCCATTCAAGTCTGAGAAGAGAAGTGCCTTTTCTGAAGCCAGATGGGGATAGTCTTGCAACATTGGGGAAACCAGAAATTACCAGGCTTTGATTTCTCAGGCAGACTTTATTTATTGACCTGGAAGTTTAAATCGTATTTAATGAAAAGTCTTGTGAAATTCAAAATGCTGGACCTGCCCTTCCTTTTCTCAGGAAAGGTAAGAACAAGGAGGTCAACTAATAGTTAAGTTGACATATTATAAACACAGATCCAGGTAGGGCAAAGGTCTTTTAAGATTAAACAGATTTAACCTTGCATGTTCTATTATCTTCATGATAAACCCCTTTCTTTGTTTACCGGTAGTTAATGAGAAGCAATGCTTGCAAATAAAATAGGTTAACCACCTAAACAAGTAACCCCTGCTCAATACAGGAAATTGTGTTTGCTCCCTTAAGTCATAAAATTTTTGTTTATGAAATTGAATCTGCTCACCAAAGTTATAAAGTGAGCTTATTAGCTTTGAGTTAATTTAATCCACGACTCTGCACATTGTGTAGATTTTCTGACCGGCAAGAAAATCTTGGATCCGTGGATTTACTCTTCTCAGGCTTGTAAGGGTCTAGTCAATAAACTGCCACTCTGGCAGTTTTAAACCCAAAGAGATCAAAATTTTCATTTTCTCCTAACAGAGTCATAAATATTTTGGGTTAAATTTGATCCTAATGTTAGAGTAGTCCAAAGAGTGCCAGGTTTTCCACAACTGTTGAATGTTAATCATCATATCTTATCAGAAAAGTTTAGGTGTAGGGGCGCCTGATTGGCTTAGTCAGTTAAGAATCTCACTTCAGCTCAGGTCATGATCTCGTGGTTTGTGTGTTTGAGCCCCGCATCGGGCTCTGTGCTGACAGCTCAGAGCCTGCTTCAGATTCTTTTTTTTTTTTTTTTAATTTTTTAATGCTTTATTTATTTCTGAGAGAGAGAGAGAGAGAGTGTGAGCAGGGAAGGGTCAGAGAGAGAGGGAGACACAGAATCTGAAGCAGGCTCCAGGCTCTGAGCTAACTGTCAGCACAGAGCCCAACACGGGGCTCGAACCCTCGAACTGTGGGATCATGACCTGAGCCAAAGTTGGATGCTTAACCAGCTGAGCCACCCAGGCGTGCCCCTTGCTTCGGATTCTGTGTCTGCCTCTCCCCTGCTCTCTCTCTCTCTCTCTGTCTCTCTCTCTCTCTCTGCCCTGCCCTCAAAAATAAATAAACATTTAAAAAAAAACTTTCTTAAAGTTTAGGTATAACTAAACTATACAAAATAGACATATGTTAACCTTACAAATCAATCCTATTTCACATTGTAATAGGGGTACCTATTTTCTGGAGAAGCATCCTGATGTAGAACAGTGTGTTACACATGATATTCCTGGTTTTATATTTTTAAGATTTTTAACATTGATTGTTTATTCCTTTTTTAAAAACAATTCTTAATGTTTATTATTTATTTTTGAGAGAGAGAGACAGAGCATGAGCAGGGGAGGGGCAGAGAGAGAGAGAGAGAGAGACGAATACACAGAGTCGGAAGCAGGCTCCAGGCTCCGAGCGGTCAGCACAGAATCTGACACGGGGCTCCAGTCCATGGACCATGAGATCGTGACCTGAGCCAAAGCCCGACTCCCAACAGACTGAGCCACCCAGGAGCCCTGATTGTTTATTACTTTTAAACAAGGGTCTGTATTAATACTGTATTTCATTCTTCCCATCCTGTCCTTTATATAAATAGTCTCTGCTACCGAGAGCTACCATGTAAAAAAGCACACTCCGTCTTGGGGTAACCCTGTGCAGTTCACACAGACTGTCTCATTTGATCATCAGAGAACCTTGGGTGGTAGGTTCTGCCTCCCATTTTACAGATGTAAAAACTGAGGCTCTGAGAGGTTATATGACTTGATGAAGATAACTGGCCAGTAAGTGATAGAGTCAGGGTACAAAGCCAGGTCTTTTGACACCAAATCCCATGTCCTTCCAGCACACATAATACCACATTTGGGACTGAGCTCCAAGGTGCCTATACGGCCGATGTAGTCAACGCAGACGTGTGGAAAAGCTCTGGATTTCTGGTCGCATTTTTGCCCAGGCAGAGGCATGTGCCTCTAGCAGCATGGCTTAGGAAATGACATTTTAACTCTCTGATCTACATTTCTGCTAAACATTTTCTTCTTGCGGGGAGACATTTGGGCTATTACCTGGTTAACATTTGCAAACTGCTGCAGGAAATTCATTAGCTTGAAAGGAACACAATTACAGTAATCACACTCAGAAACAGAAGGTGGGGCGTTAATTATTGACAAGAGATCACCCAGAAGATACAACACAGAATTATTAACGGAGCCAGTGGGACTGTTAGGATGGAATGAACAGAGCCCATTTAACCAGCTCTGGAGCATAAAAAGCCAGGAGCTGAGCATTCACAACACCTCTACAAGACCCCCTGGGAAAGAACAACTTGCTATTCTCATTCAGTTACGATTCTCATTCTTATTAAAATATATTGAGCCATTCTAAATGTTCTTTTTTTTTTTTTTAATTTCTAGGAGAGAGAGAGAGAGACAGTGTGAGCAGGGGAGGGTCAGAGAGAGAGGGAGTCACAGACTGAAACAGGCTCCAGGCTCTGAGCTGGCAGTCAGCACAGAGCCCGACGCGGGGCCCGAACCCACGAACCGCGAGATCATGACCTAAGCGAAAGTCGGACGCTTAACCGACTAAGCCACCCAGGCGCCCCTATATTGAGCCATTCTAAAGCCTACCATGAGATGCCAGTTTCATGCTTGGTCAAAGCACTAGTATTTGCAACTCAACAAATTCAATCATTCTTCACTGAATATCCATGGTGGGGTTGGGGGAATCGTGGGGACCTGGTGAGGAACAAGAGGCAGAGCTGAACCTAGGATTACAATCCTTCATTGGGGAGGATCAAGATCACACTCAAATCCCATACTGAAAGCCAGAATGTACCTTGCTGAAGACCCTGAGCAGCATCCTGAAGAGAAGAAACAGTACCCCAAGAGCTGACTGGGGTGAGGAGCAAAATTAACTAACATTTCCTGAGCATCATCTATGTGCCACGCACTGTGCAAAGTGTTCGATGATATATAATTGAATCTTTGTAGCACAGCAACTCTGTGAGTGGGATTATTATGTTCATTCATTTCACCAATAAGCAAACTGAAACTTGGCAAGTTGTCTTACCCAGGGTCACAGCAGTAAGTGGCAAAGCCGGAGTCATACCTGGGAGGGCCTGATTCCAGGCTCCATCCCCTCAATTGTTCTGCTCTATCTCTGAGCGGAACAGAACATTTGAAATCAACACAGGGAATGGTGGATAGAAACAAAGGAGTGGAGGGTGAAGCATTCCAGAAAGTAGGAATTTAGGAAGAGGCAAAGGAAATCATTAAGTGTTGTCCATGATGAAGAATCTTATATGTCAAGCTTGGGAGTCTGCTTAGCTTGATAAATTAAAGGGGACTTTGCAATATCAAACCATCTCTCTTCAGTAAACAGGGATGCGTTGCATTTCTCTAGAAGCCAAGGTTTTTCAGGGCACATGGGTGGCTCAGTCGGTTAAGCATCCGACTTCAGCCCAGGTCATGATCTCATGATTTATGGGTTGGAGCCCTGCATCGGGCTCTGTGCTGGCAGCTCGGAGCCTGGAGCCTGCTTCGGATTCTGTGTCTCCCTCTCTTTCTGACCCTCCCCTGCTCACATTCTGTCTCTCTCCCTCTCTCTCTGTGCGTGTCTCTCTGTCTCTCTATCTCTCAAAAATAAATAAACATTAGCATCCGACTTTCGCTAGGTCATGATCTCGCGGTTCGTGGGTTCAAGCCCCGTGTCGGGCTCTGTGCTGACTGCCAGCTCAGAGCCTGGAGCCTATTTCAGAGTCTGTATCTCCCTCTCTCTCTGACCCTCCCCTGCTCATGCTGTCTTTCTCTCTCTTTCTCTCCTAGAAATAAATAAAAATATTAAAAAATAAATAAATAAATAAATAAACATTAAAAAAATTAGAATCCAAAGTTTTTCTAAGAACATTTAGCACATATATAAATACAGGAATGAAAGACTTACTCTACTATGGTCAGACTGAAAGAATGTAAATTCAGTAACATAAATACAATGATAATCAACCATAAGCCATTTTATTTGTTATCAATAGGCTAAAACAAAAATGACACAAAAGGCCAAAGGTAAACACGAATAAGCAATAACCACCCCAGTCTTTCCAAAGCAGACCACAATACACACCAATAAGCATTTCATTTTTATTTGAAAGAGCGTTTTTGCATGTGTTCTGGAATTACAAAAGTAATGCATGGCTTATTGCAGAAAACTTGGAAAACGCAGAAAAGCACAGATACGTATCTGCCTTATTTCTAGCACTATCTGCTAGCTGTCCTACACAGCTGCTCTTTCTCTCTTTATACAACACACCCGAGTGTTTTTTATTCACTCGTGTGAAGCATTAATTACTCTATGGACTGGAATTCCACTGGATTCTGTTGACACTGAGTATGGGTACCAATCACCTGTTAGATTCTCAACTTCCTTATCCTTCCTCTCCTTTCTCCATCCCTTTAAGAAAGATCCATGTCGTGAACAACCTGAAAGCAGGGACCAAGTTTTATGCATACCTCTCCCTTGACCACTTAGCGTGATAGTACTAGAACATTCCTTTTTCTTCCTTTAATTCACTCAACTGTTCTATACCTAGTGTTTAAAAATAAGAAATGTCAAAGCATTACCTCTAGACTGGCAAATTAATAGGCATCTTATGGCAAAAGGGATACTTTAAAGATATGAGCATAAAGGGAACCTGCAGTTTGGTTATGAGGAGAGAAATGAGGCCCCTTATTTGTCAAAATGGGCTTCTCTGATAGAGTAGTAGCTTCAGATAACTTTCTGACTTTTTTCTCCCCAATCAACATTTAATTACTAAGCACCTCCTGGGTGCCTTTGAGGTCATGTGACAGTTACAAAGCTATACACGATCGGATCCTTTCTTCTGCAGCTTCAATCTAACGGGGTGAAAAGACATGTAGGTAAAACTTTGCAAATGAGATAAAACATGTCAAGTGGCTAAGATTGTTAGAATGCTCTGGGAGTTCAGAGATTCGAGCTGAACTCGCATCTGATTGAGGGGATCAGGCATTGATCAGTCTTAGAGGAGGCATAAGATATACATATGAAGTGTGTGTGTGTGTGTGTGTGTGTGTGTGTGTGTGTGTGTGTGTGTGTGTAAGTATGCATGGCTAGGCAAGGGAGGGAATTTGAAGCAAAAAGAATAGACTGAGCAAAGGCGAAGGAGTATAAGAGACCAAGAAGTGTTTAGAGAAGAGAGAGGAGCAAATCTTGACTAAAGAAAAAAAGTAACAGAAGAAAAAGCTGGAAGGGAAGAGTGTGAACCCATGGCTGAGAGCCCAGAATAGCAAACTAGTTTGGACTCTCTTCCCACTATAATTTGGAACTATTTAGTCATTCAGCAAATATTTCTTGATCATCTGCTATGTGCTAGGTGCTGTGATACATACGGTGAGATACAAAAAGGCAAACAGGCATGGCTTGTGGTACAAAAGCAAGGCATCCCTGCTTTCACCATGGAACTCCATGATTACCTTCTAGAAATGTAGTTTAAGCTCGAAGAGGACTTATCAAGAGCAAAACAAAACTGGCCAAAAGACAAATGAATGATAAGGAATTGCTTTTGGTTACTTATTGCTGAGAGAGAAACTATTCCAAAAGTTAGTGAGTTAAAACAACAATGATTTGATTAACTTGCTTACGATTCTGCAATTTGGGATGGGCTTCGTGGAGATAGCTCATCTCTTTGCCACGTGGCATCAGGTGGGGTGGCTTGAACACCTGGGGACTGGCTGGAACGGCCAACTTGTATCATTTGTCTGGACCTCAGACTTCATGGTAGGTTGAGTTCCTCAGCTCTCCTCCACATGGCATCGCATGTGGTTAGCTTGGTTTTTCCCTCCAAAATGATGATCTCAGACATTCTTCTTTGTTCCTGGTAATCTGACTTCTTACATGGCAGCTGGCTTCACCCGGAGCACAAAAAAGGAAGCTCTTAAAAAGTAGCTTAAAATTGGTACAGTGGTTATTTTCAGCACATCCTAATGGGGAAAGCGGGTCACAAAGCCAGCCCAGATTCAGGGGGAGAGGTCTACATGGGGCGTGAATATCAGGAGGCATGATTCTTTGGAGGCCCACCAGAGGAACAGTCAACCACAAATCTGAAAGTCAATTCAACAGCATCTTCCACAATTTTAATCAACTAACGGGCATTAAGGACATAGATAGTTCTGCTCTCCAGCACATACCCTGCCTGCCTCACTCTACTTCCACCTTTTTGCATTGTTAGCAAAATGTATTTATTTCTCAGGCCGCTACTGATCACTGCATCAAATTCTGAACAGACCTTGCAATATAGTTACAAACAGGCCAACATCTGGGAAGGGAGAAGGCTCTCAGCTGAGAGCCATCCCTCCTGCTCCTGGGCCTATGTCACTCCCTGGGCCTGTGTCACTCCCAAGAGCTCCCAGGTCATGTACCCCAGCTTCAAAACAGGGAGACAGAAAACCCATTCGTGCGTAGCTCCAACTCCCCTTCTGCCATCTGCCATGTCCTGCCTCTCCTGGAGACACCTCAGCCCGCCTCTGTGTTACGAGACCCTGACTCTGGAGAGCTGGAGCAGAAGATGGCATTCCTGGTTTGCAGAATGACATCAAGACCCTTCTGCAGCATTTATTACCGTCTTACATTTTCCATTTCCCAAACTGGACAGAGTTGTCCAGTATGTTCTGAAGGCCAAGCTCAGTGGTAATACCAGAATTTCTATAGGAGAAGCTTGGGAGGCAAACTGGTCGGAGGGAATGTTAGAGGGGCTACGAGATTTTTCTTGAAACTTTTTACAAGAGCCATGTGATCACTCATAAGACTGGAATTGATCACCAAAATTGACATAATTAGCCAAGAGGCGACAAGTCAAAATATACACTTAGATCACAAATTTAATTAATAAAAATGTGTGCTTAGTACATATAAAAGCAAAAGTTAACTGAGTTCAACAGAGCAGCAGCTGAGGGAGTTTTTTCAAATATGTTTTGGTTTTGTTTTGTTTGTTTTATTTCTAACCATCTGTTAATTATTCCATATTGAGACAGAATCACACTGTGATTAAATACATGTTCCAGAAGTCTGTCCATACAGATTTGAATTCTGGCTCCATCCATTCACTGGGTCACCTTGGGCAAGCTACTTAATTTCCCTGTGCCTTATTTTTCCCACTTATAAAAAAAAAGATAATAACAGTACCTTTCTCATAGGGCTGTGTGAGTATGAAATAATACTTGCAAAGTGCTTAGGGTCCAACAAATGTTCTCAACAAATGTTCCTTATTATTCCATACATTACTACTAGCCAGTGGTTTTTTAACCCATGCTTTATAGATCTTTTTTTCTCTTTATTAATTCATGTTTGGGATGATCTGGAGGCAAAGACCGCTGAAGATTAGGAGAAGCTAAAGTTACCCTCCAAACCCCTTTCTGGGTCCCTTGGCCAACGTTAAATAGATCTTGCCAACAAAAGGTATCAATAACAAAGTGTCAGTAGCAGATTAAAAAAATACTTCAGGTAATACTCTCCTAAGGCTCAGAAATTAAAAATAAAATTAAAAATAAAAGAGAGGTGGGGCGCCTGGGTGGCTTAGTCACTTAAGCGTCCGGCTTTCGCTTAGGTCATGATCTCGCGGTTCGTGGGTTCGAGCCCCGCGTCGGGCTCTGTGCTGACTGCCAGCTCAGAGCCTGGAGCCTGTTTCAGTCTGTGACTCCCTCTCTCTCTGACCCTCCCCTGCTCACGCTGTCTCTCTCTCTCTCTCTCTCTCTCTCCTAGAAATAAATAAAACATTAAAAAAAATAAAATTAAATTAAAATAAAATAAAATGAGAGGTGACAGAGATAAGAAGGAAAAAGCTGAGAAATAAGCACTGAATCTACATATACTTTAAATGTTTTAAAGAAAGCGTGTACCTTCTCATCAAATGTGTATGGGGAGAAAATGAGATATATAGAAGCAATTTAGAGTTTGCTTGGGATATAATTATACAATTCCATGCAATTGCCATCAATTGTTCTCCCAGCATCGTTTTCTATTACAATCACAAGAGGCAGGCAGAAGCATCCGGAAGAGTTAAAAGAGGGGGACTCTCAGCCCTCCTGCAAGGTGCTCACTGGAACAATTTCCCTGCTGCTCTGTGTTTACAGAATCTTATTTGCATAGAGGAACTGCAGGAGCTCTGGATGATAGTGGCTCTGAAAGAAATCAGCAAAAGTGCACGTGAGGGATGGATTCAGTACACCTCCTTGACTCTAGAAGGAGTAGAAAGTTGTCAAGCACAGAGCCTGAAGAGGATCAATCTTCAGATTCTCAGAGATCGGATCATTGCCTAACGATCTAAAGCGGAAGTGCCAATAGATTTTGTGCATAATCCTCTGGGCGTTTTGTCACTGACGTTGCATGACGGGTCAGTTACAACCGAAACGTAATTGGCCTGAATCATTTTATGGGGAGTGACTCCCTCGTGTGGCTGTCTGCCTTCCGGGTTGACACCAGGAGGGCAGGGACCTCTGGGAGAATTCTCTGCTACCCTCTCTAACTCACCAGCTGCCGGCTGAGTTTAGGGTTCCTTTGATCTTCTTCACTCTGGAAGCTGTATTCCTTCCTTTCTTTCAGATATGGAGAACAGGCTCGAAATGTTGTTTTGCAAGCCTGAGAAAAATAGTATTACCATCTTATTGTCAAAAACATTAGAGTTCTATAATCCAAGCAAGGAAGAGCACTGTACCCAATCCACGGTCTGGGGGCTACGGAGGGTATTAAAGTAACTTCTAAAAAAGTTCAAAGACCTCAACTTTATCTTGTTAATCAGGCCATACCACCCAGAACATGCCCCGTTTCGTCTGATCTCAGAAGCTAAGCAGGGTCGAGCCTGGTTAAGAGCCTGTCTACTTGGATAGAAGACATCAGCCTTGAAGGATTTTGCTTATAAAGCGGCCATGTGTATATTTTGGGGCTGGTGGGGAAAACATAACTTTATAGTTTACCACGGCCCTTATCATTGTCCCATCAAAAGTAGTTCTGGATTCCTAAGTTTGATATCTCTCTCTGTCTCTATGTCTCCCATGTTAAAGAAGACAAGTGTTTGGAGGAAACTTTTGCCCCCAGTGGTTTTGAAACACTCCCCCATTCCAAAGCAGGCCTGAAGTTGATCCAACCTTGTTAGGACATATTTTCTCCAAGAATAAAACAAAAACTCTACAGGGGGTGAGAAGCCAGGGGTGGAAAATCTATACCAGGTACAGCGAGAGAAGCTAATTGGCCTGAATTAATATCGTTGTTATGGGGGCTACTGACCCGGAGACTAAACCTGTGCCTCTCTGCCCCCACTCTCCACTAACGTGAGTTTATCTAGCATTGACAGGTGTTGCTACTGGGCAGGTGGGAGAGCAGCAAATGGAAAATAACACTTTTTTTAAAAAAATATTTTATTTTTAAGTAGTCTCTACACCCAACGTGGGGCTTGAACTCATGACCCTGAGATCAAGAGTTGCATACTCCACTCACTGAGCCAGCGAGGCACCCTGGAAAACAGCACTCTGGCTCAGAGAGGGATGATTCACTGAGCACACGCCTTTCAAAGGATTCACGTGGACACACTGGCCCAAGCGAGTACAGTGTAACTCAACTGGCGGGTACACAGGATCTAGCATCCCAACAGGGCAGCACCAAAGCCCCCTTGATGAATGACACAAAGCTTTCATGCACTTGGTTGGAGAATCACAGACTTACCTTGGCCACCTGGGGGTTTCTGTCCTGTAAATGTATCAGGAGGGAATCTTGGGTCTGCTTAACCTGACCGGTGAAAAATTTCTTCCATTTCCACCCAACGAAGTCCGCCAATTGCCCAAAGAGGATAAAGGCTGAATATCTCAAGTTGTCATTCTCCTGTGGGTCCCAGTAAAGAAAACAACAAAGCCCAGGTCATTACTGAAAAAAAGAGAGAGCATCAGAGAACAACACAGCCATCAATCTTTGTTGCATGGTAGGAGATGGGTCACCAGATTCAGTCTAAAGCGTTTAGCTGGCTGAGATGAGGGACAGAGAGGAGACGGGTTGAGTCCTCAGTGAGCGTCTTCTCTGGCAGACAAGACGAGACTGGGGGATCTCTATGCTAATCCCAGCTTCCCAGCTCCTTTCTTTATTAGTTAATGTTTTGTCAGTAGAATACATTTATATGGTTCAAAATTCAAAATAACCAAATAGTTATATATATATAACTATATAAATATATATATAAAGTATATTTATAGTATATAAAGTAAGTCTCCTTCCTAGCCCTTTCTGCCTGCCACTAATTTTCCCTCCCATGAGTGAACAAAGCTATAAATTTTGTGTGTCGCCCTCCAGAAAATTAGGAACAAACCAGAATAAAATATACATTACATAGTCCTTCTTCACATTTTTACACAAATGGAAGCACACCATGCCACTGTTATGTACCTTGATTTTTCACCAAACAATCTATCTGGGAACCCTTTCCATGTCGCTACCTAAAGGAATTTTGGGGTGGCTGCATTGTAATTCATTCAACCCATCTCCTGTTGATTATTCCCAGTGCTTCTGCAAGGGCATCTCTCTTTGCTTTTGGTCTGAGTTTCCCCTCCTGTAGGAGAAATAACAAGTGCGTGTCTTCTCTGCCACCCTGCCACCTCTCCCTGCTTTTAGTTCAGTTGGCTGATTTGTCCCCAGAGGTGTGTCACTGGGTTCAGTCCTTTCTTGGCCTGGGACTATGTCAGTGAGTTCAGTCCTTTCTTGCTCTCCAAGATGATCAGTCTAGTCCAAGTATCTCCCTTTTCTCAATGAGGAGACCAAAGTTCAGGACATTTCCGTGACTTGCTCAGAAGTCACACTGTCAGATGACAAAGAATCAGGGAAGTACACAGTCTCCTGGCTGTTGGCAAAGGGATGTTATATCAATGTTACCTAGTCCCATGGAAGCTCCAGGTAAACCAGAGGGAACAGGGCTGAGCTGGGCCTCTTCAGGGACAAGAAGCACATAGAACTGGGGGGTCACAGACACTCAGCAAGATCAATGACCACTGATCATTTCATGAAGTATTAAAAAATAGCATGTGTGACACTTACAGAAATTGCTTTAGTGTTGCACTTTCCTCACTGTTCTACCAGGTGTGTGTGTGTGTGTGTGTGTGTGTAATTCAATTCAACACTACCCTAATGCTGTAAGATGTACAAGACATGTAAGATGGGTGCCTTGTCCTCTAGGGGCCTGACAATCATCTGATGAGAACGCACACACTCCTGGCATAAGGCAGGTAGACAAGAGTGGTAGTCTACATATAAATGATCAGGAAACAACTCTCCATGAGTATTTCTAGGTTTCTACACATCCAGGGCTTTCTGATAAAAAATTACAGTCAAGATGGGGGGCACCTGGGTGGCTTAGTCAGTTAAGTGTCTAATTCTGGATCTTGGCTCAGGTCATTATCTCACAGTTTGTGAGTTCGAGCCCCACGTCAGGCTTTTGCGCTGACAGTGTGGAGCCTGCTTGAGATCCTCTCTCTCCCGCCTCTCTCTGCCCCTCCCCTGCTTATGCATTCTCTTTCTCTCTCTCTGTCAAAATAAATACGTGAACTTTAAACAAATTATGGCCAACTTGGGTATTAAAAAAATGATTGCATGATGCACAAGTCCTGAAATTAAGATAGCACCTCCAGAGAGATTTAGAGACATCTCCCCGGAGGTATCTGTTTACATTCCAGGGAAGTAAAGTAGAGACCTTCCTTTCCCAGAGATAACTGGTTTACATTCCAGAGCAAAGGTCTCTCCATCTTTCTGTCTCTCCTAGTGGAAGGAAAGGCAAATGTGCCAGAAGCTGCTATATAAACTTTAAATTTCATAATTTCAAGATTTTTCTTCCTGTCATGTGGTGCAGGTTCATCTGGAGTGTTAGGTGTGGGAGCTTTTGCAAAGTGCTCTGTGAGTAAATAAAAGGTCTGTTTCCTGTTCTACAGGTACTATCTTTCTGTTGGAGTCAGAGAGAGAGAGACAGAGAGAGAGAGAGAGGAGACAGAGAGAGTTAACTGCAGTATCTCAGAATCCCCACAGCTCCAGACTAAACAGTGTACTTTCTGCTTAATCTACCTTGTCACCTGGCCACGAAGAGCACAGGTCATGTAATCAGAGGGCCTGGTTTAATATCCACTTGCTGGCTCTGTGAACCTTGGGCAAGTTACCTAACCTCTCTGTGCCGTGTTTTCCATGTTTATAAAATGAAGATATTAATGGTGCCTACCTCACAGGGCAATTAAGAAGATTATCGGAGATAACCCATGAAAATTGCCAAGCTCCATGCCTGGCACACTGTCAGGGCTCGCTAACAGCTGACTATGGTTATCGTCACATTCATAAGAGAGCACCAAATACATGTTGGCAGTGCTATCATCAACTCTATCCTCACGGGCATATATTCATTCCTCCATAGGAACAAAAACTCCTCAAGGGGTAGTGACGGAATGCTATACTTCTTTATATGTCTTCCTTAACCCCTAGTACAATACTAGTCTCTTAATATGGTTTCTTAATTAATAAGTTAATAATAGAGACCATGTTCTCTGAGCGACATACCCAGGGCTCACGTTTCTAATCCCACTTCGGCTTCAATAACCCAGAAATCTGAATTGTCTCGCTTACATCATCTAGTAAAGTCCTGGTCTGAAGAGTGATGTCTATGAAGAAAGAGCCCAAACTTTTCCCCTGGAACTTGCCCAGGATGATGGTCAGAGTCTTCAGACTCTCATGGATGACGTCAGCACTCACAGGGTCATACAGTCCATGCACCAGCAAGTCTAGGACAATTGTCTTATATTTTTTCACCTGTTATCAAGGTTTGAAAAGCATTAATAGTCTAGTAATCTAGGAATTGCTCCCAGTGAGTTGAAAAGCAATCCCACTTCTAATCTTCCAATAACCAAGGACTTGGACTGAAAGCATGGTTTTTTCAGGAACAGCCACAACTCTGGGGCATCTGGGTGGCTCAGTCAGTTAAGTGTCTGACTTCAGTTCAGATCATGATCTCACAGTCAGTAAGTTCAAGCCCCACATCGGGTTCTGTACTGACAGCTCAGAGCGTGGAGCCTGCTTCAGACTCTGTGTCTCCCTCTCTCTCTGCTCCTTTCCCGCTGGAGCTCTGTCTCTCTCTGTCTCTCAAAAATGAATAAATGTTTAAAAAAATTTTTTAAAAAGAGCAGCCACAACTCTTATTGCAGTACAAATGCTTCCATTAACCTGACCCAAGAGTCAGCTCAGTCTTGGAAGAAGAACAGAAAGAGCGATCTGGAGCTTGGCCTTTGAGCAGACGAGGCCAGCAAGGGCACATCAAGGAGTGGCATGGGCTGGGTGACCTAGGCATCCAGAGCATAGTGGGTACTTTTATAGAGCATGAGATAGAATGGTCACGGAAGTTGATAGATGCTAAAGGCAGAGGTGGGGAAAACACCTACCAAACAAGCAAAATTATTCAAAAATAAATTAAACTCGCCCAAGAGGGCGATGTCCAGGTATGTGTTAATCCCATCTGCAGCCCTGTTTCCCAAGGCTGATAGTACTGAGGTGTGACAACCCTCCAATAACTGCAAATGAGTCACACCCTTGTACAATCTCCTTCCCTTGAGTGTGGAAGGAACCAGTGACTTACTTCCAGCCTACAGACTATAACAATGATGACAGGATGTCATTCCCATGGTTACGTTACATTACGTGGGATTCCATCCTAGAAGTCATGGGTGCTAGAGGCTTTCCTGCTGGCCTTGGAGAAGTAAGCTCACAGACAGTGAGAGGACAGCCTCAGGAGCTGAGGTGGCCAGCCAGCAAGAAGGCAGGGACCTTGATCCTACAACTGGAAGGGACTGAATTCTTCCAACAGCCACACAAGCTTGGATGAGGAGCCCAAACGTCAGACAGAAATGCAGTCTGGCCCACCTTGACTATAGCCACATGAGATCTTGAGCGGAGGACCCGGGTAAGCTGTGCCTAAACTCCTGACCCAAGGAAACTGCAAGATGATGACCGCCAGGTGCGCGGTGATCTGTCACACAGCAGTAGGTAATCAGTACATGAGGTGCCATCTCCCATGACTGGGGACTTCAGGCCATCAAGTTGGCTGGGCACCATCTTCTCCTACCTTGTCAGGGGTCTCTGAGGCCATCGCTCCCAGGCCTCTCATTGCCATGTGACGCTTTTTAGCATTGGGGTCCTGGGCTCTTTCTGCCAAGATGAAAACCACGTTCTTCAGAGGCTCCTGCTTCTGGAGACTCAGTGTCCAAGAGACCTGGGTAGTAAGCCAAAAGTGTATTGATTTGGAGAATGTTCAGAGTCAGACCCACCCTAGCCCAAGCCCTCCCTCTAAAGAAAATCTGTGTTGCCTGCTCGATTTAGCCCTTCTTTGTCCTGATTTTTGCTGGAAATATATTGGTGTGATCTACACAGTGAAGAAAATGGATGAAAGAGGAAATAGGCAGAGAAAAATAATGCAGGGCTGGTGTTGAGGTAGGTTGGGGGGATTGTGGCAGGTGCCCTAGCACCACTGAGGGTGTGCTAGAGCTCAGAAGAAAGGGGGCTTTGGGCAATTGCTGTGAGCTGAGAACAGGGACCCTCCACGGGACAAGGAATGCCGTACTGCTTCCATCTCAAAGGAAAGAGTTTCCCTGACCCTTCTTTCTCCTCCAGCTCTTCCCATTATTCTGCTGTACTTCAGAGCTGAACACTTTGAAAGATATGTCTATACTGGTTTTCTCCGATTCCTCTCTCCATGATCCCTTGAACCTTCTGGGGTCAGGATGACGGCCCCACTAAGTCCAAGGGTTCGTGCTCGGCACTCATCCCCCTCAGCCTCTCAACAGCACTTGACTCAGCTAGCAAAGCACATCTACCAACATTTCAGGGCACCTGAGGGATGTCCCATCCCCAGAATGCATGCATCTGAGCAATTAAGATGAGGAAAAGAAGGGGCACCTGGGTGGCTTAGTCGGTTAAGCGTCCGACTTTTGCTTAGGTCATGATCTCACGGTTCATGGGTTCGGGCCCCGCGTCGGGCTCTGTGCTGACTGCCAGCTCAGAGCCTGGAGCCTGTTTCAGAGTCTGTGACTCCCTCTCTCTCTGACCCTCCCCTGCTCACACTGTCTCTCTCTCTCCTAGAAATAAATAAAACGTTAAAAAAAAATTTTAAAAAGGTGAGGAAAAGAAATGCATAAATAATGCAAATTGGGGAACACTGTATGGTTGACACAGGAATCTACTTCAAGGATGAAACTCTAAGCGAACGTACGATTCCCACTCCAGGAAGGCCCCAGTGTTCTATGCCTCACACACGTAGCGACATGTGCTGGAGTCAGAGCCAAGGACAATGCAAGATCCAGACAAGATCCAAGAAAAAGCCTTAGTAGCGAGGGGCTAGAGGCTGGACCCACAGCCCTATTGGGTATTTTGCTGATCACCAAGTTTCATCGCTATTTCTCAATATTGATTGCACTGCATTCTATATTTTTATTATCATTAAGCGTGCAGCAAGCTAAATTCTTCCCAGCTCATCTTGTTCTCCTGCAAACATTCTGCAGAGTTATAAGAAATGTCATCAAGCGTTTTGTCAGAAGGAGCATCAGCGGAGCCGCTGGAACTAATTCAGACCAGGCGAGCACACTTTACAAAGTGGCTGGTGGGGAGGGACGTCTGTGTACAAGCTGTGGTGACAGACCTTGGAAAAGAAAGACACCATAGACGTCCTTTTCTTCTTAGGTGGGGCGGGGGGGATCAGCAGGGGCTCGCTCAGGATTCTTCTCTGTGTTTGGTCCATGGGACTAAAAGAAAAAACACCAAGAATTGTCATACGAGCCACACACACTCCTCCAAGCCTTGTCCTCAACAGGCAATGCCATACAAAGCACTATGCCAGGGTAAGGACACAGAAGTAACAACCCCGAGGCTTGTCCTCAGGAACCAATCCCCTTGCTGAGGAGATGGGACAGTCCCATGGAAAGATAAAGAGCAGGAAGAAATGCAGCGGAAGCATCCCGATGGGCTGTCTCCTGGTTCCCATTCCATCCCAGAGCCCCCTCGTATCAGAATCTCCAAAGAGATGAAATAAAGACTCTGGCCCCGCACAGATCCTCACGAGTTAAAGTAAGAAATAGCCTGAAACTTTGTGTTTTTTAAAGTTTCCCAAAGGACGCCTGGGTGGCTCAGTCAGTTAAGCATCCGGCTTCAGCTCAGGTCATGATTTTACCATTTGTGAGTTCGAGCCTCATGTTGGGCTCTGTGCTGACAGCTCAGAGCCTGGAACCTGCTTCGGTTTCCGTTTCTCCCTCTCTCTCTCTGCCCCTCCCCCGACTCATGCTCTGTCTCTCTTTGTCTCTCAAAAATAAATAAACATTAAAAAAAAAAGTTTCCTCAAGAATGTACATTGGTACTGCATTTTAGAGGGGATCTGGATATCATCTCTTACAATTTTGAAATGTACATATCTTTCAGTGACCCTTGCATCCTGCCGATACACTGATCCATCAGACTTTCAAACACATAAACACCGGATACACACTACCACTTTGTAATGAATGACCTTGGTAATGTAATGTCCTTTAATAGTTGTAACTATTTCATAAATAAGTTACACATATATATTACAGCTATACAACTACAGGGTAACTACTATGCAGTCATTTAAAAGAATATTGGGCAAAAAACACTATAAAACACTTAAAAGAAAAATCTATGTAGGTAATATATGTTAATAGACATCATTTTTTGGAAGGAGAAAAAGAATATTGGGCAGATCTACCTATGCTAAAATGACTTCCAAAACATGCTATTGAGTGAAAGGTGAAAATCAGTATGCTACTGTTTGTGTTAAAAGAACAGGAGAAAGGGAATATATATATATATATATATATATATATATATGCTTGCATGTAAAGAGAACAGGGAAGAAAACCCAAGAAAATTTAACAAAAATTGTCTCTAGGGGTAGAAATCTGAGCAAATAGGGTAGGAAGAAGACTTACTTATTCATACTTTTTTTTTATAGCTACAATATTTGTAATTTTACCATGGGTATATATTATTTAAAAAATATATTGTAGGGGTAGCTGGGTGACTCAGTCAAGTGTCTGACTTAAGCTCAGGTCATGACCTCATGGTTTGTGAGTTCGAGCCACACATCAGGCTCACTGCTGTCAGCAAGGAGCCTGCTTCAGATCCTCTGTCCCCGCCCCCCCCCCGCCTCTGCTCCTCTGCCCACTCACATTTTTGCTCTTTCCCTCTCAAAAATAAGCATTATATATATAATAAATATATATATATAATAAATATAGCTCACAAAGTGATTCTGATCTACAGCCTGATTTGAGGTGTACTAGTATAAACAGTATAAACTAGTCTGAACTAGTATAAACCAGTGCTTCTCAGATTTTAATGTGCACTAGAATCAGGAGAGGATCTTGTTGAAACGCAGATTCACTCAGTGAAGGTTTCAGATGCTGCCTTTCTTATAATCTCCTGGGGGGGGCGCCATTGTTCCTGGTACGAGGACCACACTTTGAGGGCCAAGATGTAAAGTTAAGAGCCACAGGAGTCAAGGGAAGGCTGTGGGCTGGAACAGCTGGTAAAGACCCCCACTGCATGTGGCTGGGCTTTAGAGGCGAGGCACACAGCACACGGAATACATCAGTAATACTGTAATGATGGCATATGAGACGTGGTGACGACGCTTACATTCGTGCTGAGCACCGAGCAATGTATACAATTGTCAAGTGACTGTGTTGCATACTGAAACTAATATAACATTGTATGTTAATTATATTTCAATTAAAAAACAATATGGGAGTGGGGGGGTGGGGGAAATGGGTGATGGACATTGAGGAGGGCACTGGTTGGGATGAGCCCTGGGTGTTTATGTAAGCGATGGATCATGGGAATCTACTCCCGAAGCCAAGGGCACAGTGTATACACTGTATGTTAGCTAACTGGACAATAAATTATATTTTGAATAAGTAAATTTAAAAAAACTTAAATAAATACATATATATGTAAGGGGTGCCTGGGTGGCTCAGTCGGTTAAGTGTCCAACTCTTGATTTTGGCTCAGATCATGATCTCATGGTTCAGGAGACGGAGCTCCACATCGTGTTCTGTGCTGACAGTGCAGAGCTTGCTTGGGACTCTCTCTCTCCCTCTCTCTGCTCCTTCCTCTCTCTCTCTCTCTCAATAAATAAATAAACTTTAAAAAACCAATATAACAATAATGAATCTGGCAAAAAATACTTTATAAAGTTGGTTAACAAAGCCCAAAATTAACAGCAAAAAACACAAAGAAATAAAAATAAAGGAGAGGCAGGAGCATGTTTGACACATTGGGATTGCAGAGGGGTTCCGTGTAGTTAGTGTCATGGCAGTAGTGGTAAAAACAATTAAAATAGGAGAGTGCAAAAGAGAAGGCAACAGAAAGTAGTTAAAGGCCAGCTGTGCAGGATGTTGACTGCTAAAGAGATCAGTTTCAATTGTATTTTGTACTTAAGAGTGAACTGTTGTGTTTTTTTAGAGAGGTGAAATCCATGTAACATACAATTAACTATTTTAACAATGTTGTACAACCACCACCTCTATCTGGTCCTAAAACTTTCTCGTCACCCCAAAAAGAAAACCCCATTCCCATGATGAAGTCATTCCCCATGCTGCCCTCACTTGCAGCCCCTGGAAACCGTTTTTATACCTTCTGTCCCTATGGATTTACCTATTCTGGGTATTTTATATAGAATCATACAATACTGTAACTTTTTGTGTCTAGCTTTTTCTCTTTTGGTATAAATGTTTCTGAGGTTCATCCATTTAATAGCATTTATTGGCATGTCATTCCTTCTTACGTCTGCGTAATAGTCCATTCCAGGCATACCTCAGTTTATTGCACTTTGCTTTACTGCAGTTCACAGATACTGAGTTTTTTATACATTGAAGACTTGTGACAACCCTGTGTCAAGGAACTCTAGTGGCACCATTTTTCCAATAGTATTTGTTCACTTCGTGTCTCTGTGTCGTATTTGGTGATTCTTGCAATATCCCAAATGTTTTCATTATTAACTATATTCCTTCTGGTGATCTATGATCAGTGATTATGACTTGCTGAAAACACAGATGATGGTTAGCATTTCTTACCAATAAAGTATCTTTTTAATTAATATGTGCATTTTGTTAGACATAATGCTATTGCACACTTAACAGACTACAGTATAGTGTAAACACAATTTTTATATGCACTGGGAATCCAAAAAATTCATTTGACTTACTTTATTGTGATATTCGCTTTATCGCAGTGTTCTGAAACCTGACCCACAATATCTTAGAGGTATGCCTAGATGGATATACCACGTTTGTTGATCCATTCGTATCATTGCTGATAGACACTTGGGTTGTATTCACCTCCTAATTATTGTGAACAGCACTGCTATCAACACTGGTGTACAAGTATATGTTTGAGTATCTGCCTTCAGTTCTTCTGGGTCTCTACGTAGGAGTGGAATTGCTGAGTCATATGGTAATTCAATGCTTAACTTTTTGAGGAACCCCCAAGCTGTTTTCCACAGTGCCTGCGCCATTTTACATTTCTACCAGTGATGTGCATGGGTTCCAATTTCTCCACATCACCAGCTGTTATTTTCCAGTTGATTATTATTATCATTATCATCATCATCATTTCCATCCTAGACGGTGTGAAGTGGCATGTCCACGTGGGTTTGATAGCACTTCCCTAATGACTAATGGCTTCATTTTATGCACTTGTTGGTGATTTCATTATCTTTTCCAGAACAATGTCTATTCAAATTTTTGCCTGTTTTTTATATGGGTTGCTTGTTTTTGAGTTGTCAGGATTTTTTTTTAATGTTTATTTATTTTTGAGGGAGAAAGACAGAGTGTGTGGGGGAGGTACAGAGAGAGAAGGAGACACAGAATCCGAAGCAAGCTCCAGGCTCTGAGCTGTCAGCACAGAGCCCGCCCAACACAGGACTTGAACCCATGAACCACGAGATCATGACCTGAGCCGAAGTGGGACGCTTACCCCACTGAGCCACCTAGGAGCCCCTAGATTTCTTAATATATTCTGGATCCTGGGCCTTCATCAGATATGCAATTAACAAGTATTTTTGTCCCACTCTGAAGGTTGTCTTCATTTTCTCAACAAGGTCTTTTGATGCACCATCACTTTCAATTTTGACGAAGTCTAATTTATCTATTTCCATGGCTGTTGCTCCTCATGCTTTTAGTGATGTAAGAATCTATTGCCAGATCCAGAGTCATGAAGACTTACCCCTGTTTTCTTCCAAGATTTTTACAGTTTTAGCTCTTCTGTTTAGATTGTTGATCCATTTTGAGTCGATTTTTGCATATGGTATGTGGTAGGAGTCTAACTTCATCAGAGCCATTGATTTTTGTTTTGGTTTAAAAAAAATTTTTTTTAGTGGGAGAAATAAAACGTAAGTGCCGCAGGGGTTCTCCACCCCAGGTGCAATAAAATCACCTGAGGAACTTTGAATCTCCTAATGCACTGGCTGTACCAGAGACCGAGTCTATCACCAACTCAGGCCTCAGTAATTTTTAAAACTCACGGAGTGATTCCAATGGGCAGTCACTGAGCTAGGGCGACGAGTGACCAGTCACCTTGGTTTGCCCTGCAGTATTGTGATCTATAATAAATATATATTTGGCCTTTGTCCCCATTCCTGGCAGAAAGCTCCTGGAACCCTTGGAATTTCCTAAGTGGTTACAGTGATGGAGGCATCTTTTGTCATGTTAACGAGGCTACTTTCAGAAAG